ACCGTTTGTAGATGCAGATTCATCATATTCATTTGCCACTTTTCTTTTTTTACGATTAAATTTTATCGACTTCTCGGCGAATTTCTTGAATTCTATGGGATGTAATCTCTGAAATTCAAATTTTAAACACTCATATGCTATGTACATATTTAATTTTTGGATTTGTTCAAGGCTTTAGGCTAGGCTTATTATTTTTATCGGCTTTCTAAGAGCCGTGTGTTCATAGTCGTTCCTCAATTCTCAAGGTTAGTCTGTCTTTGTCTCGCTACTACGTTTTACCATACGCGAGACAAAGACAAACTACCCTTGAGAATTGAGGAACGACTATAAATACGGATATAAATTAATCTTATTAAACAATATATTCTTCATAATTTTATAAAGAAAAAGAATTTACCTTTACCTTTAGGTGTAAACGAAAATTCGATGTCGCATTTATTGCACCTTTTATCATTGTTTTCTTATGTTTGGCATTGCAAAGCTCACATTGAGCTGTAATTTTATTGCCATCTGTACTTTTTATGACGAATAATTCGCCATTCAAAACAGCCGGTACATTTTCTTTCTCGCACTCTTTAGATGTTCCGGGTTCAGCGTCCATTTCTGACATTGTATACTGCTATGAAGTTGAAAATTAGTGAGGTTAACATACCCAGCAGCAAACATAAACAAAAGCACTCTTTGATAAAAATGTAATGAATTACATTGTGAAAAGTATGATACTAGTAAGAATATTCTTAAAGAATCACCGATGTTATTAATTGTATACTACTATTGCTTATACACTTACATTCGAAAAATCCTCGTAAAACTAATCTGCCGGCACGAGCAGTGTTGCAAGAACTTGCAAGATTCCGGACGAAACAGCCAGCGACAGCCAGTGTTGGGGATAGGCTGACAACACAGTGACAGTGGGCACGACTGGCACGAGTCGTGTCGCAACTCGCACGACGCAAAAGCTGACGCGAATCACGCGACCCTTCGCCATAAACAAACGAATCGCGATGGCAACGAGGGTATAGCAATAAAGTCTATCACACAATGCCAGGCAACAGGCAATAGGAATAGGGAATAGAATTTTTGACGCGTTGGATTCGTCGGAAATTTTCTTCCAACCAATCCAACGTATCAGAAGTTCTATTCCCTGTTCCTATTGCCTGTTGCCTGGCATTGTGTGATAGGCTTAATGGCTCATTCAGACTGGACGCGATGAGCGACGAGCGACGC